GAAGGATGTTTCTGTCACTGAATTGAATTCACAGCACATGAGTCAATCTGGTCTAGCTGTCATGAGGAAAAAACGTGTTCATGCACAGGTATTTGTAGTTGTGAATGGCCTCCTAAATTGACACCTTTCTATCACTCAGCTTTCTGGTTTAGTTTCTGTATGTAATCTTTGTTCAATGATTGATTGTAAATTTGTAATGTATGTGGTGTGAACATGATTTATCCACACACTGCTCGGCATTAATGCAACCTTGCATATTTCATTATTTTCCAAAATATGATGTTACACGTCATTCAATTTAACATTTATGTTGCCTTTCTGCCAGCTGTCTGACTATGGGCAATAAATTCAAGATATTTATTGTTATGTGTGTGTGTGTGTGAGAGAGAGAGAGAGAGAGTTAATAGTGTTTTGCAAGGGATTGAATTTTTAAACTACTTTTGATGTTTATGGACTAATTGTATTCTACATTGCCATGAGCATTCATTTTCTCATTTCTTGATGAATAATTTTCATCTGTCTGTAGTTCAATGATCTGCAAGAATGTTATTTGCAAAAGAGACGCCAGTTGGCAAACCAGTTACAAAATAAGGAAGAGAGGGACCAAAATGTTACGCGAAGAGAAGGTTACAGTGCTGGTCTGTCAGAATTCCAGTCTGTACTGAGTACATTCACACGCTATAGGTAAATTTACCAGTTCCCACTTGAAAAGATCCTTATGTACTCACAAATCACAACCATTTCTTCAAAGGATCCTTGATATTAGATTCTCTAACTTCTATTTATTCACACAATCACATCATTGTGGTTTGCTACAGTCGACTAAGAGTTATTGCTGAGCTAAGGCATGGAGATATTTTTCACTCAGCTAATATTGTCTCTAGGTAAGTTGATTCTTATCAATAAAAGGTGCATTGGCTTGAAATATTTTTACTTATTTCCTATAATATGACACTGATGTGAAATGGATCATTCAAGAAAAGGATTCTTCAGCATTTATTTTATTTTATTTTATTTTTTTTAATATAGCAGTTGGATAGAGGATGCATATACAGAGAGAGAGAGAGAGAGTTCAGACTTCTGAAAGAACATATTTGTTGTAAACCTTTATTCTGAGAAATAAATGGCTTAGTAAATGGAAATGATTTTTCTTTAAGATCGGCCAGCACTGAAATTTATGGATATATGTACACAACATACTGGGAATGGTCATGATAGAAATGATGACGTTTGTCCTATCTCAAATGATCAAATCTGCTTAAGGTCATAAATCTGCCTTTGTTTAATTGCAGTATAGAATTTGATCGTGATGATGAATTGTTTGCTACTGCTGGAGTTTCACGACGCATCAAAGTATTTGATTTCTCTTCGGTAAGCTGTGAATTTGGTGCTTTGTTCCTTGCATATGTTAGATGGTCTTTTTTGTTCTTGAATCTTCTGGAAAGTAGTTTAGGAGAAACCTATGCAGCCTCATAGTTTATATAGAATCCACAAACCTAACGAAATTGGAATCTTTCATACAAGCTCTGTTGTGAACTCACTATGTTCTAGTTCTAGTTATAAGAATCATGCTGCATAATTAAAATAGAGGCATTCCTTGTTATTTTAGAATGAGTTGAACAGACTAGGAGCATCGGTAAGTAGTGTTCAAGCATTGGAATCAAGCAATGTAAATCATGTTATGGAATTTCCACTATTTCTCCTAGAAAGATTGGTGCAATGGGCTGACTGTTTGTGGCCTACTATGCGCTCGTGTGGGATGCTGCCTTGATAAGTTTTTGCTTTACTGTCAACAGAAAAGCTAGATAATGCTCTTATATATGTGCCATACTGCCATATATATTTATGCTAAGGTCAAATTTGGCCTCTTTGTGGTGGCTAGCTGTAGTTGCATCTTTAATAAACCCTTGAATAAGGTTGGGTGTTTGGATTGTAATACTTCCTATAGTCCAGTGACGTGGTCTTTGTGTTTTTTTTTTTTTTTTTTTTTTGGAATTTCAGGTTGTGAATGAACCTGCAGATGCGCACTGTCCTGTTGTAGAGATGTCAACTCGATCCAAGCTTAGCTGCTTGAGCTGGAACAAGTACACTAAAAACCACATTGCTAGTAGTGATTACGATGGAATAGTGACTGTCTGGGATGTGACTACGAGACAGGTAAATGTATTAATGTTTCAACTGATATATTTTCTGCTTATGTTTCAACTAATAAATTTTGTGTTTTTATAGGAAGAGAACTGTTGAAGTTATGCATTTTTTCTGAACTTTTGTTCTTACCTATTATTCATTTGGGCCTTTTGGCATTCAGAGTGTTATGGAATATGAAGAACATGAAAAACGGGCATGGAGTGTCGATTTTTCTCGAACAGATCCCTCAATGCTTGTATCCGGTAGTGATGATTGTAAGGTATTGAACACATGCCTCTTACTCTCTGCAGTGTAGTACTGCTTTTTTCTAACCTGTAGCTATAATTTATAAATGGTTTCTCGATGTCAGTAACATCTTTCTAATCTTGAATTTGAATGCTGCTCATGCTGTTTTGAATTCTTTTAGAGAAATGATAGCTGCACTATTTTTACCATCTTCTAAGGCTGTGCACATTATTCTATGCTATTTCAGGTTAAAGTCTGGTGCACAAAGCAAGAAGCAAGTGCCCTTAATATTGACATGAAGGCAAATATATGCTGTGTGAAATATAATCCCGGATCTAGTTTTCATGTTGCGGTAGGTTATTTTAAGGTCTCTGTGTGTATTGTGTTTTGGGGGGCGGGACCCGTTGAATTCAGGCTTGATGTCTAATATCTGGTGGAATGGTCTACATCCATACTATCAGTTTTGTAATTTATTTCCTGCTTTTTTGATTGGTTTCATATATATCTGTGTCATTTGCAGGTTGGCTCAGCAGACCATCACATCCATTATTATGACCTGAGAAACACCAGCGCTCCACTCCATATTTTCAGTGGCCACAAAAAAGCTGTTTCATATGTAAAATTTTTGTCTAGCCATGAGCTTGCATCAGCATCAACTGACAGCACTCTGCGACTATGGGATGTAAAAGATAATTCACCTGTAAGTACATTATCTAAGATGATAGAATCTTTCACACGGCAGCACTGCTGTGCTGCCACCGATCTCGGGTGGCTTTTCTTTGTGTACATTTTCTAAGATGATAGAATCTTTCATCACTGGTGTTACATTTTCTCAGTGTGTCTGTAACTGATCTTGCAGGTTCGTGTATTTAGAGGGCATACAAATGAGAAAAATTTTGTCGGTCTCTCTGTGAGCAACGAATTCATTTCTTGCGGCAGTGAAACCAATGAGGTTTTTGTCTACCACAAGGTCAGCATCATCTCTTCATTCTTCAAACAACCCCTTCTTTACTAGGGGAGCATATAAAAATCAACTCATTTTGTTATCCTTTTAATGAAAATTTAACAAGTTTATGATAACCTGCGGCTTCCAGGCAATCTCGAAACCTGTGACTTGGCATAGGTTTGGTTCCCCAGACGTAGACGAAGCCGATGAAGACGTAACGTCTTTCTTCATCAGTGCAGTATGCTGGAAGAGTGATAGCCCTACAATGCTAGCTGCTAACAGCCAGGGAACCATCAAGGTTCTGGTGCTTGCTGCCTGAGTTGTGAGTTGTAATATAGTGGTTATAGAGCTTGATTAAAGTTTAATTACATCCAAGTATTATTGTTCCCAATGAAGAAATTCATCATTGTTTTGTAGATATGGGCGAGCCAATATTCTAAAATCTAAAATAGAAACTTGTTTAGAATGAATTCAAAATCCCCTAATATTATAAGTATAAACTAATTATATAGTACTGTAATTAATTACGGATACTCGTTTTTATCTCTGTGACTAGTTGAGCTGTCTATTCAAGTGGTATATACGTATCAAAATCTAAATTGGGTATTTATTTATATATTGTATATTTAATATTTAATTTAATTATTTAGCATATTTATAAAATAAGGTAATGTTATTTGTATTAAAAAAATTATTCTATGATCTTTATTAATATTTATTTGTTCACGTGTAAAAGTATTCTCCATTCACAATAGACATACCCGTAATGAGTACTCAATATGTAGTGGAAGCGGGTAAGGTGTACTAAATAACAGTTTCTTTCAAGGTAGGTGGATAATAAATAAATACAAGTACTTATCGTCTTATCAGATATTTATTTATGATACATTTATTCAGAATTAAATAAAAAAAAATTGAAAGAACACCTAAAAAAGAAGGAAAATTAAGAAATAGAGTTATTATGGATATTTATGGAGAAAAAAGAAGTGATAATAATTGATTATGTGTTAATAATTCAAATAATAATACTTAAAAAGTAGTAAGAACGTGCTATGTGATGATGGTGAGGGAACAATTATAATAATAACTCATCATCTAATAAAAACATTTTTTTTTAATAAATTTTACTTTACTAGCAGTTGCATGGCGCAAATTTAATAGTACAAATATTTGAAGACCGTTATGTACCCTATCATTTTATATATAAATGTATTTTAAAATCAAAACGTTTTTAAATTAGATATAAAATTATCTAATATAATATACGAATCTAATTAAAATTTTGCACTGACACCCTACTTTACATTTGGTTCATATTAATTTTTAGTTCATTTTTGTGATGTTCATAAAAAGTTTCATTCCGTTACATTTGAATTATGCCAAAATTTCAAAAACGTCATATTATCTCAACAACCAAACCTACCCTGTCGGAGTAAAATTTTTGAAATGGTAGTTTTTTTTTTTTTTTTTTTTTTTTTTTTTTTTTTAATATTTTAAATATTATTAGCTATTACAAAATAGTATATGTTCTATACTTTCTTGTATCTGTTACAGTCTAAAGAGTCAATACTCCATTATCTAAATTTAATCTTGTAACCTTCCCTAAAAAAGAGTCACTTAACACAAATTACTTGACAAATTTAAATTTAAATGAGAGCAGATATATTCATACTTCATGGCCCCATAGAGAAAATGGACTTCCTCTAGAGTCTCGGGATACTCCTTTCTTCTCTGTTTTTCATTTTTGTCTTGGAATGATGATGAACACACCAATCGAATCTCCATCAATGGCCGCACCTTGCTCTAAGCTCGTCTGCTGAAACCTGACGAGTCTTCGCCACTCGTACTTGTGTACATATAATTGTATGTATCTACCTATTTTGGTAAGTTTTTTTGTTTGTGCATTCATCTGCTTCTCTAATCTTCATTTGTAAACTGAAAATTGATAGATGAAAGTCTGAAACCATGTCTCCTCCGTTGTTGATTGATTGAGCTTGAAAAGTATTCACTGTTGTTGTTATTAACTGAGAAGAAAGGGAAGAAAGAAATGTATGGCTCAAAAGCGCACGCACAGAGCCTGAAAGAGTTGGGGTTGGAGTACGGATCGCATATCACGACACTCCGGCCGAGCATCCACGCGAGGAGGGCGAATCTGACGGTGAAATTCCAGGATTTGTATGGGTTCACGGTGGAGGGGAATGTGGATGATGTGAATGTGCTGAATGAGGTTAGGGAGAAGGTGAGGCAGCAGGGGCGAGTATGGTGGTCCCTGGAGGCCAACAAGGGCGCAAATTGGTATCTCAACACTCATGTTTCTTCCAGCCTCAAGTCTTCCCTCAAGTTCTCTGCCCTTGTCAATGCCATCACCCTCAAGCGCCTCATCCGGAAAGGCATCCCTCCGGTCCTCAGACCCAAGGTGTGGTTTTCCCTCTCCGGTGCTGCCAAGAAGAAATCCACCGTCCCGGAAAGCTATTACGATGATCTCACCAAGGCCGTCCAAGACAAGGTCACTCCTGCCACCAAGCAGATTGACCATGTCAGTGCCTCCTCTTTGCCTCTCTATTATTTAAATGCTTCTTTTTGGATTATGCTTTGTTGATTGGTTCAATGCTGGTAGTTGAGTCCTGAATGAAAGTTCCAGTCTTGTTACTTTGTCAAACGAAAGAAAACAAGTAACTGTTAGATATAAATGTATATTAACATAAACTTAAATCACGTGGAGGCTAAGTCTAACCTCGTAGTAGTGGAAGCTTGAGCAATCGAGACTTGTAGAGTCGTTTTGTCTACCATTTCTCTCCTGATTACTAAATGCTGTAGTGTGTTCTGTCTATAGGAGCTGTGGGAGGACCGTTTTGCTTAGAAGCCTATGTGCCATCATTATAACTTATAAGCAGATAGTTAGTTAAAACCAAACTGAATATCTGAGCCATCTTATCTAACTAAACAGATTATTGACTCAGTCATATACTTGCACCACAACCACTTAAAAATAATATATGGTATATTATATTATATGGAAGATTGTTACAGTAACCTGCTTGATTGGAACTTGGAAGTTGAGTGGTGCATAGTGAGCAGTCGTCAACTTTCCTCACTGAATGTATGCATACACAAAAATATTATCAATCTAGAAGGCATGTACTGACTAATGTTGCACATGGAAGATGTCTAAGATGTGTTAGATAATGAGACTAGTTTGAGAAATTCTTCACAGCTTATTAATTTCATCAATTCTTTGAAAACCACTACAAAACCTGAATTTCGCTGACCTTTGGACTTAAGCTTCTGAAATTTGTCGGTGTGTGGAAACACATTTGACAGTCTGCTTATTATGATAAGTCATTTAAGTAGTTAGATATATCTCAAATGGACCTACTTTATCCCACAAAATCCTGGAATACAACTATCATTTTTTTTCCTTATGTGACTGTTCTTAACAAAGTAAGCACAACTAGTTATCGTCTTATCGAGATAATTGGGAAGGATGGATCTTTAATATTGAAACTCAAAATTGATTTACTACCAACCATAAAATTCTTAGGTGCCAACTGTTGGATAACTAGGTTGACTTGGTTTCCCATCCTCAAGGTCAAAGGTTAAGTATAAATACCAAGCCCATGTGTACTGCTGAAAAAACATTGTTTTATGAGCCTTTGGAGTGCATAGTTTGAACATTATTCTAATGTTTATCCTTTTTGCAGGACTTGCCGCGTACTTTCCCTGGTCACCCATGGTTGGACACTCCAGAGGGTCATGCTGCTCTTAGGCGTGTTCTTGTTGTGTATTCTTTCCGTGATTCTGATGTTGGCTACTGTCAGGTGGATTCAATATCTCCCCGAAAAAAAGGAGACAAATTATGGGATTTTTGTCATATGTTTGCTTTTTGAGAAAAGTAAAATTTAAAGCTTTTGGACCATTGTGATAAAGGCGGCCATATAATTACACAAGAACCTTTTGTTCAGTATAATCTTTTGGCTAGATCTTACCCTAGAGTTTGATTTATACGTAACTATATTATACATCTGTTTTGGGAAGTCTATCAGATGTTTGTATTTATGATTTTAATGTCTTCAATCTATGCAAGGGTTTAAGTTCAATATAAGGGAGAGGGATGTTGAATTAGTTAGTGTTGTTCGCTAGTTTGTTTGTGTGTTTCTTTTTTTCCCCAGTTATAGAGTTTGTTTAGTGCTTTCTCCTTGTTTATCCGAAGTGCTTTTATATGTGAATAAATGGGTGTAAAGAAGTTTTTACTTGAGAAAGTGGAAAATGTGTTTTCTAACTTCGTTAAACTCTGACCTGGTCAGTGAATTCTCGTGCAGGGCTTAAATTTTGTTGCAGCTTTACTGTTGCTTGTGATGAAAACCGAAGAAGATGCTTTCTGGATGCTTGCTGTCCTTTTAGAGAATGTGCTGGTTAACGATTGTTATACATATAACTTATCTGGATGCCATGTCGAACAAAGAGTGTTTAAGGATTTGTTAAGAAAAAAGTGCCCAAGGTGTCTGCTTTTTTCTGAATTTTGAAAACGTAGCTTCTATGTATTTGTTAACTTTTCAATTTCGTCTCTTGCTGGTTCTTAAAGTTGACAATGACAATAATGCAGGATAGCCTCACATTTGGATGCTTTGGAGTTTGATGTTTCTCTCGTATGCACCGAATGGTTTCTATGTCTCTTCTCCAAGAGTTTGCCTTCTGAGGTTAATAATTACATATTGCCTTTCCTGCACCCGTAAACATCTGCTTGTACTTATAAAGGTATACCTGCTTCGTTAGATGTGACCTACTTAACAATTACGAACATTTAATGTGATTTCAGACAACCTTGCGTGTCTGGGATGTTCTATTCTATGAAGGTGCAAAGGTCCTGTTTCATGTGGCATTGGCAATTTTTAAGGTAAATTTGTTTGTATCTTTTGTCTTCAATCTTGTTCAGAGATGACCTTTTGGCTCTCAGAAAACCGGAAGGTATTTGTGTTAATGAAGTTTTAAATGGCAATAACTGTAGATGTGCGAGGAAGAGATGCTATTGGCACATCAAGTTGGAGATGTAATAAATATCATACAGAGAACGACACACCACCTTTTTGATCCTGATGATTTATTGACAGTAAAACTTTCTTGCTCACCTCTACTCCCCATTCTCCGTAAACTGTGATGTACTACTTGGCATTGCTTGCCAGAATGCTCAGTTATTTTCCCATGAAATCTCGAACAAGGTCCTATTGGTTGTTGATTTTGGTGCACAAAAGTTGATTCTTTTGGTGAATGCTGAGCGGTTTCTGACTGCTGGTTATGATTCAACGGCTCTTCTAAGCGAAGCATTTCTCCCCGAACATTGCAGGTTGCTTTTGACAAGATCGGGTTTATGATGACCACAAGTATATCAAGACAGAGGAAAAAGCAGGAACCAGCAGTCTTGGCAGAGCTCGACGAGAGATCAAGGCGGCTGCACTCCTTAAACGGGGAAGACAAATAGCGGCGGTTTCTTAGGCAACCTTGTAAGTGTACTATATAAAGAAAAAAATCCTTTTCGGCTCGCTGCCCGATCAGGAGACAAAAGTCACAAAACATTGTGCTTGTATAGTACTGCCTTATATTTAGCAGTTAAGGAGTGGAATCCCAGATTGGTGATGAGTTGTTTGTGGAAGTGTAGAGTTTTGCAACTCTGTGTACTTAAATTATCATCAGTGTTGTTGTTGTTGTAAATCAGTAAATGAAAGCTTTCATCTTTCTTGCCTTCTTAGCTGTGGAAACTTTGATTTCTCGTAGGATTTCTGCTTAACATTTGAAACCTACCAGGAACCTTAGTTACAGTGTGGCCAGTTTGCCTCGTTGATTATTGAGTGGCAGATTATAAGCAATGACACATGATCAAGCCTTGACAGTCAATAGTGTGGAATTTTATGAATATCTTCCGTTATTAACCTAACGGTGAACATAGTCTTTGGATGATAGAATCTGCTAAATATCAACCGTTATAATTCTCTAGAGGGTTTTTGTAGATAAATTACACAAATAATTTTGTAAATTTAAAATTTAAATGAACAAATTGATTATATTGTGAGATTATATATGCCAACCGGAGACGAAGAATGAGGGAGGCGGGAAAGGTGGTGACCGGCGGCCACCCCGGCGTTTTAAAAAAATATATTTTTAATTTTTATTTTATTTTTTTTTTATTAAAATTATTAAAAATGTCAACTCACGCTACATTAGAATGAAATAGATGATAACTATTGCATATATTTGGGGTGTTCAGTAACCTAATTACATTTTTTTTTTTGTTCAGTGACCTTTACATTTTCAGGTTACGCTCATGGTCAATTTGAACCTTATTCCTCAAACAAATAAGATAAATAAAAGAAGTATTTTTTTTTTTTTTTTTGAAAACCAAGTATTTTTTATTCCGAGTTTTTTGCACTTTTAGTCCCACGACTATAGTGGCACTGACAGAATTGATCCACGACTTTTGAACCTTGCAATTTTAGTCTACGACTATTGATTTTTTTGCAAAAATGGTCCTTCCGGCCACTTTTTCGTCAAAATTTCACCGGAAAAAAAAAATTCTCCATTTTTAGCCGGGTTAAAATTGACTTTTTACTTATCTCAAAAAATTAAAAGAAAAACATTGATATTTGACTACATACAATATTACTGGGCTACATACTACTGCCCCAGGCGGCGGAGTTCCTGGAGCAGACAGGGCTGTCAGTAAGCGGCGGAGCGGCCATGGCGTTCCCCGGGCTAGTTGGGTTATCCGGCAGCAGCATTGGAGTGGTACATGTACTCCGCCGCCTGGGGCAGTAGTATGTAGCCCAGTAATATTGTATGTAGTTAAATATCAATTTTTTTTCTTTTAATTTTTTGAGATAAGTAAAATGTCAATTTTAACCCGGCTAAAAATAGAGAATTTTTTTTTCCAGTGAAATTTTGACGGAAAAGTGGCCGGAAGGACCATTTTTGCAAAAAAATCAATAGTCGTGGACTAAACTTGCAAGGTTCAAAAGTCGTGGATCAATTCTGTCAGTGTCACTATAGTCGTGGGACTAAAAATGCAAAAAACTCTAACTAGGGCGTTTGGTTGGAGGGATTTTAAATTCCCTTCTCACTTAATTTCCACCTAATTCCAAAGGCCATTAAATTCTGTAGTTTGGTTGGAGGGAATTGCATGGAATTGCAATTCCCCCATTTTCATGGAATTAAAATCCCATGTGCCCCTGATATTTTAATTCCTGAGATTTTAGAAAAAAAAAATACTGATGAGACAAAATTACCCTTCTCTTTTTTAACCTAAAATGAATGTCTGATCTTTCCTTTTAACAACAACAATGAGCATTTTGGACTTTATACTACTTATTCCTTTCAATTCCCATGTATACCAAACATTGAAATTGAAATTCCCAGTAATTCTATTTCTATCAACCAAACATTGGAATTTAAATTCCCACTTTATTCCTAGTAATTCAACTCCAATAGAATTACAATTCCTTTCCTACATAATTCCTCCCCTCCAACGGGAGGAATGAAGTATTAATATACGTTGCATTTATCCCTGCATATAATATTTTCAATTAATTTAATTAAAAAAAATAGAAGCAGAAAATAGGGAAATGCTGCAGTGAGTGAAATGCTGAAATTGTGCATCAATCCATGTCGGACTTGGACGACATTGATCTACAACCGGAAGACTTCCAGTCTTCAGTTCCGTTGAAGAAAGTCCCATACGGCGACGTTTTCGAGGCTTCTAGGGCCGGCGATGTCGACCGCCTCCGCTACCTGCTCGAGTCCGGCGTCAATGTTAACGCCAGAGACCGCTGGGACTCCGTCGCGCTCTATTACGCATGTCTCGCAGGTCACCTCGACGCCGCCCGGATGCTCCTTGAATGCGGCGCCATTTGCTCCGAGCACACCTTTGACGGCGACCGTTGCCACTACGCCGCCCTCAATCTCAAGGTCCGCAAGCTCCTCAAGGCCTTTGAGGCTCGTCCTCCCCCTCTCGCCCCCTTGCAGGCCGCCCTTAGGGACACCTTCTTGGGATGCTCCGCCAATGCTTATGGCTACGCGGCTGAACAAAACTCCGATGCTCCTTACTCCTTGGTTCCAGGTAATCTCCCTTACAGTTTAAACTCCAACGATTTTGATTTTTTTTTTTTTTTTTTTTAAATCAATCCTAGTAATTGATATCTACATGAATATATCTGAATCTGATTTTGAAGGCTAGTAGCTGACGCTATAAAAAAAAAATGATGTAGTGCTCCATTCTTAAAATTTGAACTTTTCAAGGGAGATTTGAATAATGAGAATAAAGTTTGAAGACAAGGATGCATTGATTAAAATGGAGGTTGATGGTGGAACCTGATTGGTGTAGAAGCAAGAAGAAACATTAGGAACTTTATGCTTCAATCCAGGGTTTGGACAAACTGTCTTAAAGGTGATTGTGGATTTTAGGTTTCAAAGTTGAAAATATGGCTTCAAAGGTCAAGAGGTGATAAATTGGATTTGAAATATACTTAAAATTGCATAAAAGCAGGGGAAGGGAATGAGAATGGTTCTATATTGAGAGAAAGGAAAGAGGAGAATTAGCGATAGCAATGCAGGTTATGTTCTAGGAGTGCCACCTAGAGACTGGAGGTAATTTAGCTTAAAGTTATAGAAGATCTTAATAATAAATAAGTTCCATTTTTTGCCCACCAGAAGTTTTAGTGTTCACTTGGGAAGCTTTCATGTAGGGATTCTCAACTGGAGATAATTTTTGGAAGGAAGTTATAATTCATATCAGCTAGTACTGTTCTCTATGTCACAAAGATGAGGAAATGGCTAACCATCTTCTTATTCATTGTAATGGGACAAGACTGTGTTTTGATCTTATACTGGCATTGGGATTTGGGAGGTATCCAGTGGACTCCTTGATCCGTCAAGGATGTGCTCTTAGGGTGGAATCATTTTAGAACCAGAGAATGGAATTTGGCCCCCATTTTCTTACTTTGGTTAATGTGGAATGTGAGAAACCGATGTTGTTTTGAAGGAGTTCAGATGACCATTTAAAATTTGTTAAAGTTTTTTTGGTGCTCTTTTCTTGGTAGAATGTTTATATAGATTAATTGTATAGACATGCGGAGCTCCCCTTTTTTGCTGATGTATTTTTGGGTGGTTCACCAATCACCCGAGTACATTTTAACAAAATTCTTATAATTTTTTTTTTTTTCCATTTTGTTATCATCCATTTCATACAATGTAGCTCACCCACCAATTTTTTATTTTTTTTTTCCTCATGGAGGTTGTTTATGTTACTGTATCACGGAATATCTACTTGCTATTAGTACATCTTCTTTAGCCTGTTCAATTCAATTAGTGTTGCTAAAACTTGTGCTTGCATTGGAGTTTCCATCTAGTCATGTTTAGTTTAGAAAAGAAAATTATGCAGTACTACCACAATTTAGGAGTCAATCAATTGAATGGTTAGTACCTCAAAACTCATAATGAACTTGGGAAGCTAAATTATTGTGCAACACTGGAAAATTTTTTTTGTGTGTTTCTTACACAGTGTTAATCTATATAATTTAATTCATGTACTTAAAATGGTGTATACAATGAACAGGTAATTCAGCTAATGGAGCTACCAGCACCAGCCACTTTCCACCAGATGTTGTGTTTTATGTGCAGGGGAGGCCTGTCGAAGCTCATAGAGTCATTTTGAGTGCAAGGTCACCTTTTTTCAAGAAAAAATTCCAAATGGAGTGGAAGGATCGCAAAGAAATCCGATTCTCAAGGGAAAAGCTATCATATCCTGCTCTTTACAGCCTCATCCACTTCTTTTATTCTGATAGACTTGAGATAGCAGTAGACGACATGGAAGATCTTGTCAGAATTTGCAAAGTTTGCAAATGCGAGTCGTTGCAAATTCTTCTTGAGAAAGAGCTGATTCATCAAAGATACGCTGAGTATAAAGCTCTCAGAGATATAGATAACTCTCAAAAACGATTTATTTTGCAGGGACTTTCACTTCCAGATGAAGACCGTCTTTCTACTGCATTACATCATATGCTTCAAATTTCTCTTGCCAATTCTAAGAGAGAATGGAATCTTGAGAGTGATGTTGATGGTCTTGTATCCATTGTTGGTTCAGCGCAGATGATTGACTTTGAGGATGATCTTGCTGATGTTTGTGTGAAAGTTGAGGAGAAGATTTTTCGTTGCCATCAGGTGATCTTAGCTGCAAGATCTGAATACTTTAAGGCAAGATTATCTCGCATGAAGGATTTTCTTGAAGGAAGTAATGGCTTACCTGATAATACATTTTTATGCCTTGAGGAGCATGACCTGAGTATGGGAGCTTTTGAGAAAATGATAGAGTATATGTAAGTTACTCTCTCTCTTCATTTTTTTATTGATTAACAATCTTTTGGTAAGTAGCAAACAAAATGTAAAATTCGAGTTACTTTTCTTTTCTACATTCTGAAATGTACTTGATTATAAATGGAAATTTTTGGTGTTCGTGCACTCTATAGGTTTGAACTGCATTGATAGGAATAATAATGCAATGATTTTATAAAGAAATACAATTCCCTCTCTCACTCCCTAACCTTTTGCTGCATTTACAAAATGATGGAACATACCTTGTTATTACTCTTGTAATTTAGGACTATGCTAGTCTTTTGGTGTTGGCCTTGTTCTCATCTGAGTCTAGATGAATGGTGATATGAGGTCGGTGGGGGCACCGGGGCGGGGGATTGGCTTTTAGGGGGTGTGGGGAGGTAGTGTGTCTCTATGTATCCTGGCTATTTTTATTTTCTTTCTAGTAAATTCCATTAAATTAGTGAGGAATTTACTTAATCGAGTATGTCCTTGAAACTTGTTACAATTTTCTCTTAACTACAGGTATACTGATGGCTTGAAGGACATAGACCCAGATCAGGTACGCTGTTATTTGTAATTTGTCATCGTTAGTGTGAGTCAATCATTCTTTTTATATTACATTGTTTATAATTTGTTTGATCAGTCTGAAGAGTTGTTTGATGCCGCATCAAGGTACCTGCTATTTCCGCTTAAGCGTGCAGTAGCAGATGCTTTGCTGCCACATCTAGAAATGGTGCCTCCTGCTGAGTTGTGCCATTGGCTGATATTGTCAGACATGTATGTGTTCCTTGTTCTCTTGTCTTTTAATTGTAATACATTTTGGCACGATTAAAACACTATCTTGCAATGGGTTCTTGGTTACATTGGTGTTGACTCTGGATATCCTGTTTTAATCTTTTCTTTTAAACTAATTTATTATTTGACCTCAACCAGCTCGTCAAATCTTGTTAAAGTGAACCTCAACACTCTGAGGTCATAGCAACTTCTTGTTATGTAAATCATGTCTGCCTCTTTTTTTTTTGGGTGACGAGGGAAACCCGCAGCCACTACCCGAGGGTGTACATTGAGTAAACCCCGCCTTGTGACCATAGCTGGCGAAGAACTACTTGGAGGTAAATCAGCCTAGGTTGCCCATAACTAACCAATTCAAACCAAGAAGACCAATAGGCCGCTTCCATTAGGAGTCGAACGTGGAACCTCATGGTTACCAAGTCAACAACCTGACCAATTTGTCTGTTTTTGTTAGACCTTATGGTAGTGGGGAGATGTGATTTTAATTACGCCAAATCGCATGTGTTGTTTCTATGATATGTTAGTTGAATGCTTGTGCATTGGTGCTGTGCTCTTTTACATGCGTGTGCAGGCATGGACATTACTTGCTATAAATTGTTCTGAGATTGCTTGAAATGGTCTTCTTATACGCGATTTGCACGTAGGTACGGTGTTCTGAAGATTCGGGAGTATTGTCTTGATGCAATTGCTTGTAACTTTGAAACATTTGCTGAAACTCTGGAGTTCAGGGCAATGCTGTTGACGCTGCCACCACCATCAGGGGATTCCACACTTCGCACAACTGCTCCAAGTGCCCCGGGCGCTGAGATGAACACAGCCGAAGGGAACCTTCTGGATGATTTGCGAGAGAAATGGCTCGAAGCTGAAGCTGCTGAACTCGACGAAAGAGATGAAAGTGCATTGCTTTTCGATAAGCGCCTTGAGATGCTTATGCATTTGGCAGAACAAGAGAGATCTGGTGGCTTAGATGATACTTCTTGACTGGTAAAGGATATTGAACCACGCCGCCTCTGGCACCAGAATGCTATAGAGTATTATTCACTCTAAATATATTTATCCATCCTTGTTAATTTAGTTGTAAAATTAGAATGTAAAAGAAAATGAAAAGGATCTTAACCACACCAAATAAATAGTGTTGTGCCCCTTTTTTTTCCCCGTTATTTTACAATGTTTAACCCAAAGCTATAATTGGACTTCAGTTTGGATAGTCTGAACGATGCCAACCAACGATAAGCTATTATTTTAATCAAATTCTTTGTTCACAATTTTATAGTTTGTACTATAACTTTTTCAATCTTTTAGGTAGTCCCAATTCTTTTTGGTGTTCTATCTTCATCATATATTTGTGTTCATATCTTTTTATCCGTTTCTATTATTTATAAAATTGTACCCAAAAAAAAAAAAACACACGAAAAAACACTGAGAAAGAAATATACTCAAATCAAAAGTTAACTAAAATGAAATATGCTCAAATCAAAAGCAATTTCTTTTGTTTTTTAATACTTTAGTTCCTAAAAGATTATGCAAAAAATAAACGTGACAACCAATTCAAAGACATATGGAGTACTTAATTCCTGTACATATACAATTTATATTTTGTTAAATTTTTTTTCCATCAATACCACACAATGCGGGGATTACAATAGTCAAAGACTTGTAGTGGTATTAGATATCATTGTAAACATTAAAAAACAAAAATAAGAAAAAAATCTTTTACTATTTGTTCAAAATCTTTCTTGGCAGTAGGCTGCTCACTGCAGTTCTGCATAGAAATGTAAGCTTGCGCTACCTTTTTTTATCTTTATCGCTCTCTGATTCCTTTGCTTTCTTCTCTAAGCTCCAACACATTATGCTTGCCGTCAGCGTGAGAATCATTTTCTGGTTCACCTGTACCAAGGGGCACAACATCACCAATTTTAAATATGAAAATACCAAATCATTCATTCATTAAGATAATGAACTGAAGCATGCATGAAGGAAAAAATATATATATCAGATATGCAAAAAGGCTTAATGCTCTTGCGCCATAAGCAATGCTGCTTTGCTATTTTGATGCATGTCTTACCCCTATTATGTCCTCAGGCAACAAAAAGATTGAGCACCCAATCTTCCGAGCAACGCTGATTATATAAGTTGCATTTAGCTTCTTATCCTCGTCTGTAATTGTAATCGGAAGATATTCAGAACATACATTACTATGCTTGTTTCACTTCAAACTATAACACTATAAGAACTACCATAAAGCACTTAATAGTTAATACTAAAGTCATCTACAATGTTAGGATATTTCTGTGTCCACACTCCACAACATCAATCCAGTATCCATATATTTTCAATACATCATCCAATATTATTTAAGGAGTATATTATAAGGATAACTTGTCCAAAAAGTGTAACTGAAATAAATGAAACAAGCATTGCCACTTCGTGTCTAGCAAATTGATCATGTATTCATGTCAAGATTTAAAAAAAAAAAAAAAAGGAAAGAAGAGAAGTGACAGACAACTATTCACTTGCAGGTGCATGAGTGCAACAAACAGATAGCCTTTTTATTTTAAATAGCCTGCCAATATGTGGATACAACTATGTATGATGTATCCGCATATTGATAACTTTTGCCTTTTCATTTGTCAAGTGGCAGAGCATCCACACTAAGGGGAGAATGTGGAGTTATTTCAGAAATAAAGCACTCAAGCCAAAAATAATACTGATGTAGGAATGGGTTATTTGAAAAAGAATCACTCTGCAAATGAAGGGTTAATGTCAGAATTTAAAAAAAAAAAAAAAAAAAAAAGAAGAAGAAGTAAGGCTGTGCGCGTTTCGCGCACAGCCTGGGCAAAATCCGCAGTGCACGCGCCCGGTGGTGCGTCAGGCGCGCCGACAGCATTAGTTTTTTAATTTTTTTTTTAAAAAAAATCAATTTTCTCTTTTTTTTGTTTGTTTGTTTTTTTTTTTTTTTCTCTCCCCTCCCCCATTCTCTTTCCTAATCACTCTTACATTATCCCCACATTCTTCCCAACTGATGCGGATGCTCTTAGGAGGAGTTGAGTTGGAAGACAAATATCCCCATTGGGATGCCCTAATAAAGTTTGTATATCCATTACTCTTTTACCAGGGCTGTGGCAGACTGGCAGGTGGTTGGGTAGGAGGAAGCAAAACCTGATATATATGCCTTAAGACAATAAACTCTAATGAGTTCTTAGATCCTACCTGTTCTCCCCTTGGTTACAAGGGTCCAGTTTACAACCCTTGGCTCCGCAACACTTAAAAGTTCAAGAAAGAACATTCCGTCTGAAAGACTTTTGTCCTGCAACCATCGTTAGAATACAATGCTTTAAAGGTGATTCCCAAAAAAAAAAGGGTCATCACGCATAAAAACATAGTTAAGTGATTCTCTATAACCTTGAAGCTCTCCATTTGCCTTTTTCTGCCTGCACTACTCACTTTTCTGTTTGCCCAGTTTAGTATGTCAGTATCTGTTACCTCCTTTCCTTGAGAGTATGATCTCAAGTTTTTCAAAAGTCGGAGCATACTAAATCTCATCAACTGCCATAAAAAAGCTGGAAGACCAAAAAAAAAAGAATATATTTCTCTTCAAAGGATGCAGTTACTAGTTCTTCAGGAAATCAAGGACATTTTAAAGATCAGTAGACAATTGACATCAAAGCATAGGTTCTATATATTTTTTAAAAAATAACACTGACTAACAGATTTGTTGTTATTGTTTTGTTTACCTTTGTCTAAAAGTTAGAACAGTCGAAAAGAAAATAACACATGCAATTGATAGATCAACCTAGGGTTTAGTGTCAAAATAGTACTTAGTGGCTAAGAAGAATCATAAGTTGTAGAAAGTTATCATGCACATCTGCCTCAACCATGCCACATTCTCACAGTTTTGAGGCATTTCCATAACTATGCAGACCATATCTAGGATTGGAAATACAAATTTGGAGAATTACAGAATATGTCAGACACTGAAAGGACACACATCTAGCATCAATCTTCATAATTCAAAGCAAAGTTCTTATATAACAAGGAGAAACATCTTATTACTGTGCCAAACTACATAAATGAACGAACATACATAAAGCTTTTAGATGGAATGAAGGGGAATTCAAAAGTAATAATCAGAATAAAGTCTCTTCTAAACCCCCTTCTCATTTAATGAGGGAGAATGCTTACCTAATATGAGCTTCTTGTTTCCTTGCACGATATCATTTCCTTCGACATTTACAAGCGAGAAATTTAATTCCCTTCCAATATCAATAACTTGATTGCAATTTTCAACTTTTCGGAAAAGCATCTTGATTGGAGGTTTTGTAGCTTGCTTCCAATTAACTGATCCACAGGAAACTTTGTCAAGGACTTCCAAGAGAACCCACCTGTGTATAAGAAGGTCAATCCGAGTAGTGATTGCAAAGTCCAAATATTCACAAGAAGATGTAACCTTACCCAGTTCGAACATCCTCAAATAAGTTATTGACATACGTAGCTATTCCAAGGCTGTTAATCCACAAACGGAAGCATCTTTCTTCCCTTGAAGTTTGATCATCATCAGTCATCATTGTAGCAAAAGATAACTTTGAGTTCTCAAGGGACAATCCATTCCTGTAATATAAGTCACATGTCAAGTACTGAAGGGCAATCAAGTAAGGAGTTTAAATGAGATAAACATCATAAATTTATGTAAAAAACCAAGTCATGTTAAAAGGAAAAAGAATCATATGATTCCACAATGAATTATGCCAATGAAACAGGAGAAAGATTTATATTCAGTAATCCACTAGTCAAATAGCTGCAGAACACATCAAATTCCCTTGTCACAAAAAGTTGAGTGAATTGACATGAGCATTGAGACAAAAACTTTAATTGTACAGATGAAACATTGAGTTCATCAGATCCTGAGATGGAACACTAGGATTGGGAGGTTAATCTTATGGTCTTAATGATTTAGAAGATAGAAGAAAGTATACTTTAACCAGGGCAACCGTTAGATTAAAGTATCTGACCTGTGTTGGAATAACTGAGCAACAAATGCAAGATTTAAATTTGCCGATCCCTCAACAATATCCTTTGCGGTGAGATATCTTTTGCAACCCAATCTGTCTGCATGTTCAAGAATCAAGTTTGCTCTTTCAGTAGGATCTTCTGTTTCAAGTGTGTTGGTTGTGCCATGTTCTGGAGCAAGAGCATTAAGCAAGTGAGCATAGGCCTCTCCATCCTGCAAGTAAAATAGTTTCTTATACAGAGTATAACCTAGAAAACTAATTGCAGCACTTCTGCAACATAATTAAACTTGCTATTTTTAAACAAGAATGCTAAAATTTGTAAATTAGTTGATTTTTGTTGAAATTCATAATTAATTCACATGAGGGATTCTATCAATGAGATTTTTAAGCAGCTTTTCAGCTCTTATATTTCTTACCCTCAAGAGATTCTGTTAGAACTAATGGTTTTATTCGGTTGAAGGTACAGAAACAACAGATTCATCAGATTAGACCTGTTACTTGTCCAAAATAAAGCCAGAAACATGAAATATGGGAAGACTCCTGGCCTGATGGACTGATGGTTGCTGTATGGAGTTTTACAAGCAGAAATTGCAGGAGAGTAGGTAGTTCACAAGGTGTGCTCAGATTTAGCACTCTTGTTGGTATTCCTTTTGTAATAGATTTTCACAGTATGTGATACTATGTGTAGAGTTTTCAATGGAAGTATATAGGTAAGATCTGTTGTATATATAAAAGTTGAAATTATGCATATATTTCCTCTTAAATAGCTGAGGGGTGGGATATATGTTTTAGAGTTAGGCTTCACCAGAAGTATAAGCATATTAATTTTACATATAAAATATGTTCTTTTAATTATATCCCTGTTAAATTCAAAAGCGTCTAGCATGGAAGATCTCACCTTCAAATCAGAAGAAAAATTTGAAACCTGCTTCTTGTAGCCCACTTTTTTCAGATGAAAATTCATCCATTTCAGTAACATTCTTTCTGGAGATAAGCTCAGGAGCTCTTCTACGTCCTACAAATTTTACTATAATTATTTCAACCTGGTACAAATGCAAATGCATTATTTGACTACTTGTGTTATAAACCACAGAAAAATCAATCAAAATCTAGCAACCTTACTATCCTCTGCCAATTCCAGAA